TGCTGTTAGTTCCTTGGTTTTGGCTCCTGCTCCTGCTCCTGCTCCTGCTCCTGCTCCTGCTCCTGCTCCTGCTCCTGCTCCTGCTGCTGCCGCCGCTGCTGCGACGACGACGACTCCTCCTGAAAGTACCACCAGGAACCGCAGTGCTAGCAGAAGTAGCACACACTATCTTCATGTGAGGTAGCCAGAAAAAGTTACTCACGCCTGAAGCTGCGCTGACGCTGAGCCGGCACTGCAAGATCATAGATTGGAAGCACTGTGCAATCCACAGCTGCTTCGCTCAAGATGAACAGAGGATGACTTGTGTGTGTTCAGTTGGCTTCAAACACACGATAGTTTGTAAACGCCGCGTAGCTGAGAGTAGTACTCAAGCAGGCTTCATGTCCTAAGCCGGGCGAGTTTTCTTGAATACTGGCTCTGCGCATTGAGTCTACAAGGTGAACTTGGCAATCACCACCTTAACCTGCAACGACCCTGGAGAAAACCTTTCGAACAGCACACGGATATTCCACATGTTATGTGAGTCATTGTGCAAGAAAACCATTCTGAGCAGAAAGACCCGAAGAATAAAGCATAGAAATACAACTGTAACATTATTCGCTCTCTACGCGACGCCTATCCTCTGCATTGGGGTACAGGATGCCTAAGAAGGCAATGCAGGCCTCAGAGCTGCCCTTAAGGGCTCGCAAGCCGAAGGTTGCATGTCGATCATGACGATCACTTCTGCACTCGCAGTGCTTGCCAGTCTTGCCTGCGAGCGTTTCGAGTCCGAGATCATTTGGCCTCTAGCAGTTTCGAAGCAATCTTTTCAAGCTTTAGCACTCACGAGGCAACACGCATTGACACCAAGATGAAGTGAGCGAATCTTGGGAAACACGAGCCCCTCAGGAAGATGGACAAAAAGTCAGGAATAACCACGTCACATCATAACAACAATTAGTAAATCCGTGTAGTATGCCATTCCTACAGTCTGAATCCTTCCAATCGTTCCGTTGACAGTGACAAGTTGTCCGGGCGCACCGGTGGTGGACTCCCAGCGTACCGGCCGCCTGTCCAATCAGCCAGGCGAGGGAACAAAGCTTTCCCAATATTTAGAAATTTAGTATAAGTGCCGTGATACTTTTTCTATATGCTTGCATAGCTTGGTTTCTGTTGTTAGTCCTGCCATGTTTGGACACTTGTGTTGCGATTCGCTGCCAGATGAAGAATACCATTCTTGACGTGAACGCCTATCGGCCGACTGCATCGTACGTGGACAGATCGCTTCATCCCATGTGGACGCCCGTTACAAGCTTCCTAAACTCCTAGGCAGATTCCAAAATTCTACACATGCACACTGAATTTGTTTTACGTTTTTGTTCATCAACTCTGGCAAAAGAGCCGGAGAAGCTAGGAAAGCTGCAGCCGCAGCGGTGACAGTGACAATCTGTCGATGACCGGTGGCGTCCATGTGGCCTTCTTGGGCTTGGTATGGGCTTGGCCTGATAGCTGAATCTGGTACCACTGCATTTCGGGAAAGTACCATCAATGAGCCTAGCATTCCAGTTGACGACGTGCGGCCATGTGTTCCAACTTGCGGGAAGCGGCTAGGTTGTCAGAAGCGTTCATGGTACTGCTCCTGGTGTGGCTGCTGAGGCAGCTGTAGCTCGGGCAGCTGTTGTTGCACACTGTGCACTTGTTGTTCTTCTTGTTGTCTTCGTGGTTGTGGTTGTGGTGGTGGTCCTCGTCAATGTCGTGGTTGCTGCTCCTCTGCTGCTAGTGGTCAGTGTCGTCGAGATGCTTGTCGCCTGCATGTGTGACTGTTGATATGGTGCTGGTCCTGCGGCTGCTTCTACGATTCTAGTCACGCACTCATCGCCTGCCTCCCCTACTTCAAGGTTTTGCCGCCTGGTCCCACCAGAGCTGCAGCGTCGCACCAGGCGCTAGGCCCCATGGGATGCTGATGACGATGATTTTCCCATCCTGTGGTTTCGAGATGTTTCGGGCCAACACTTCCCTCCAGGTACTCTTCTTCCGATTCGTAGGGCTCCAGTTGATCAGTCTTTGGATCAGTACAAGCCTTCAGGAAACCTGGGTCGTTGACCCTGAAGGCTCCAACAAGGCTTAATGAGATCGGTCGACCTCTTGGGGTTGCAACCAGTGAGACTGAGAGTGAGTGCGAGCGATGAAGACAGCGACAAGGGAGAGGAAAAGGAACAAGAGACTCAGAGACAGGGAGATATAGGGACAGTGAGAGACAGACCGCGGCGCAAAGCAACCAAGGAAAGGGCCTTGTCAGGCACGGCAGACAATCACAAGTTCATGCAGAAGACGCGCGGAGCCGCCTTTTTGGGGCCTGGGTAGTTCGTGGTAATTCTGTAGAAGGGGCCTACTGGACTGGAGTAGCTGATCCTCTTCCATCTGCTGGTTGCTCCTGTCTTCGAGCTTCGTGCGGAACCCGCAACCAAACGAACCCTAACACTTTCAACCACAAAGGCACTGAAGCCCTACAGCCCGACGGATCGAAATCCCAAAAATCCCTGGATCCACTCGGACATGTGCATGCGTTTGCTCAGGTCGAGGCCGGTGTTTTCACCTGAAGCAAGTCCTCCGGGCCTCCCGGCCAGAGAAGAGCTTTAGGGCCTTTCTTAGGGGCATTTTAACCTATGTGGATCCCAGGCGCATGAAGGGATCCCGCCGAAACGACAAGTCCACTCGCCCGTAGAACGACGATGGGTACAGGGCTTGAGGCTTAGCGTTGATAGGGCCTATATATGCTTATATAGGCATATAGGGTGTTGAAAGTTGTCGGTGTATGCGTTGGCACTTCGACTCTCAATCTCGCACCCGGCCCGGCAGGCAAAGTTGTCGTTTGTTTCCAGGACGGTTTAGGGGCTGAGGGCCGGCTGTGGCAATGTATGCTTCTCGATTTGTGCATGTCACCCTAGTGCAGGAGGTGGCAGATGTGGCAGGACCCTGACAAGCGGCGTCACTAAGTTAGCTTAACCTAAGAATCTAAGCAAGCCTGACGGTTGCATCGCTCTAAACTGCCGCAAGAACCGCATAACCAGCACCAGCAAACGCACATTCTTGGTCCCTAGCATAGACCACAACCCCGATCTTCCACAAATTCGAGAAAGCATCGCCGCTCGAAGGCCTGTTGAACCGATGTCAGTGCCTACAGGTTTGTCTTGCTCTGGAGTGAGATAAAACTCATGAACACTACGCCCAACCTCAGTACCCTGAGACGCAAAGCGATAAGCCTAGCTTAAATGTGCTTATCTATGTCGTTCACAAGCCCGCAACAATTTCTCGCATCCTGTTTGTTGCCAAGTGTCCTAACCTGAAACAGCGCATGTCACGTCGAAGAGAAAGCAGATCATCAGCACCATCTAAATGTCGGCGCAAGAGACCGCTGAAACGATCCCCGAAATACTTCCAAGTTCTGCTAAATCCAACTAGCACCCAAGTCTTTTAAGGCCGTGGGGCCCAGCGAAGCGGGGATCGGAACGTGGAGCAACTCTAAGCCTCGCCCCGAGCTTCAGAAGCTTTCAGGAGCAAAGGGGATCAGGGCTTAGGGTTTAGGGTTTAGGATTTAGGGTCTCCGGATTCAGGCGGCCTCCATGAGAGCAGAAGTCCCCAACTGTTTCTATCTGTCAGACATCACAGGTTACTGTCTGATACGATGGCAAAAGCACTCGGTCCCACGCCATCATCGCCGCCCTCTGCAAGTGGTGCAGAAGCGGTCGTATTGTCAAAGGCTTCCGCGGCAAAGGACAGAATAGAGTCCTGGCTTGACATCCCCTTGCTTCGCACTCAGGGTGTGCTGGGCCATGCTTTCATATCCAGTAGTTGGGTTTCGTACGGTCAACCGTTGGCCGCCGGGCACAAGCTGCTTCGCGTGTTGATGAGATGATGAAGCGGTGTCGTGAGCATTGAAACTTCTGGAAGTATCCATGGCGCTCTAAAAGCATGAGAGCGCTGTCCCGAAACCTGTTGCTACCAGGCATCACCTGGGCAAGAAGTTCCCATTAGCAATAGCCGTGAGAGACCTTCGCACGAAGCTCTGTGATACCAGCAACACCACAAGCACCAGCAGCCGACACAATCGACCCCACATACCCCGCACCGTGACTACAGCGACGACGACTATCATTCTGCCCTCGCTGGCACCACGGCTACCATCCTGACTCATTGTTATTGCCATTTTCACCGCCACCACATCGTCATCGTCACCATCATCTTCTGCACCCTCAGCAACATCATCGTAATCGGAGCACTCGTCGGAATTGCCCTAATGTCCGTGCATGGAGCCAGGGCCACATGAAGTGCGTCCGGCATGCACGCGGCATCGGAAAATCCTTGAGTGTAAGCCTAAGCCGTATGAAAAGCGCGAAGCACTGCTTGCACTACCGGCGGCCTGGAGCTTGCCCGTTGCTGGGGCTGCCTGCATCTGAGCTTGGGGCTCTGCTGCGTTTGAGAAGGGGTTGCGGGTTGCGAAGCCCACGCCTGGAAGCTAGTCGGCCCTGCTAGGGGTCATAGGGGCAAATTGTTCAAGCTCCAGATTGGGTCGAAAATGTTGTGAAATGCGACATAAGCTGTAACTTTTTCAGGCCTGCAACACATTGCCATCTCGTCATTGTGCGTCTATGGCTTCCCAAGCATTCAGCCCGACTTGCAACCCAGAATTGGCTGCAAGCTACTACAGCTACTAAGGATGGGCCTATGGCCGCAAGATGAACAAATTTCGGAAATGAGATTTGTGAAACTATCGGCATGCAACGTACAGTTTATACAAAGGCCCGTATGTGCTGAATCTACGCTTCGAAACCAACAGCAGTGCCCGTATTTGTCGAATCTTTTCTACTGTAAGCAGGCAAACTAAGTGGGGTATCCCAGGCAAAAGCTTACTTTTGGGTGGCTTCTGGCTTCCTACTTTGTGCTAACCTCATACGACCTTAACCCAAAACCCCCTGAATTCCTTGACACCAAACCCTAAAGTCCTAGAAACCACATCCGAGCTCCTGGCCGGCAACTTCGGAGTCCGCCCTAGCCTGTGTTTAATGGTGAAAGTTACGTAAAGTTAAAGTGTTGAGGGCTCGGGGGCTTAAGGGTTTCAAGTCCACGCGAGAACTTGTAGTTTAGAGTTCATGTTCGAAGCTTCTGCCGTGAGCAATTGCGAGTGCCTGGACTGGAGGCTCTGTTAAAGGGTGTGCATATGACAACAAGACACAGCTCGTTTAAACGGTTGAGCAATTATACGCACACCGCCATACACTTATATAATCTCATATACTTAAATTTCTGCCTGTCCGCACATCTGTCTGACTGTCTGTCTGTCTGCCTGCCTGCCTGTCTGTCTCTCTCTGTCCGTCTACAGATATGACAGGTATATACCTTGACAACCCTATGGTAGCAGA